TAAAATTCTCCTACCAATCCAGTGAGGTGAATGATCCAACCCAGCCCCCCACCAAAAATCAGAATGCTCTGAGGACAGCAGGTGGGGCGGGGCTGAGCCCTACCCCTGGCCACCTCTTCAGGGCCTGGGGTGAACGCTGCTGCTCTCGGGGCTCTGTCACCTCAGGTGCAGCACTAGGTGGCAGACAGGTCGGACAGGCAGTTTTGACGTGTGATCGCTGGGCCCGCCAGTCGCCCTCGGAGGTGGTGCTCAGAAGCCAGGGCCACAGTGACTGTCTGGGGTTGATTCCTGCTGTCCTCTTCAGAGGACCTTGAGGGTCAGGGATCTGCACTCATACAATCCTTACGGGGCCTTCTGAGACAGGGGCTGCAGGCCCCACTGGCAAATAGCTTGAGGGGGCCCAGTGAGGGCCACCACCCGTCTCAAGGGCCCCACAGCGGGCAGAAACTCTGGCCGTGCATAGATGCATGTGTGTATGTGTGCGTGTGTGTGCGCACGTGTGTGTGTGTGTGTATGTGTGCATGCTAAGTGCATGCTCCACCACTGAGCTACCCTCCACCCAGCCCAAGACAGACCTGGGGACAGGTGGGTTCTCAGCTCTGATTCTCTTTTTTTGTCTTTTTGAGACAGGGTCTCGATATGCAGTTCAGGCTGGCCTTGACCTCACTTTGTAGCCCAGGCTAGCCTCGAACTCGCAATGATCGTCCTGCTTCAGCCTCCTGAGTGCTGAGATTACAGGCGTGCACCACCATGCCCGGCTTTCAGCTCTGATTCTCAGGGGCTGCGAAGTGCTGTGGTTTCGGGGCCCACAGAGCTCCAGCCTCTCAGCCTCCTGCTCCCCCGATTTGCAGCCCAGCTCACCTCACGGACCAGGCAGTTGTGGGAGTTGAGGTCCCGGTGGATGATGTTCATGGAGTGGAGGTAGGCCTGCGGGGACAAGGGATGCACTGGTGTTGGGAGGCCGCTGGCGCCCAGCTCACTGCGCCAGAGCCTGGCCAGGGCTGGAGTCTTCCCACTCTCCACCCGTCTCCCTGCCCCTGTTTAAAAGCTCCCTGTGGGGCCCATTTCTGGAGTCCTCATGGCACTGCAGTGCAGTGGTGGGGGCCACCTCACAGGGCCACTCACCATCCCCGACGCGATGTCCTTGGCGAAGCTCACCCTCTGGCTCCACGGGTACTGGCTGTCCTGGGGAGGGAGCAGGATGAGCCATGGGGGCCACATAGGGTGACAGGGACAGGCGTACAAACACAGGGAACAGGTGTCCTGGAGATCTGGTGTCCCAATGCCCCTCTGCACCCACAGCTGTCTGCTTTTAAGGGGTGTGGGTGACCAACTCAAATGCACCATTTTCTAACAACTGATTCTGGACACGAATATTCCTTTAGAGTTCCCAGTCTGTCTCCTCTAAACAGGAAAACCTACAGAGTTGTCCCTCAGTGTCTGACAATTTATTTTACTGGTGACTGAACCCAGGGCCTTTGCAATGAGCTATAGCCACAGTCTCTTTTATTTTGAGACAAGGTCTAAGTCACTAAGTTGCCCAGGCTGGCCTTAAACTTGTGATCCTCCTACCTCAGCCTCCAGGGTAGCTGGGATGACAGGAGTGCCCGCATGCCTGGCTAAACATTTCTGTGTATAAGTTGATTATCTCAGGTACAGTATTTGGTTATGGTGATGGAAAGCTGGGACCACAGAGCTGAAATCATTTAGGGAGACTTCAGGTACCGATGCTTTGCTGAGGCACGGCCCAAGGCCCCGCACAACTAAACCGGCAAGGCCAGGCCCAGCTTTAGCGGGGCCCAGCTCTGGGGACTTGCCCTGAACTCACCATGGCCTTGATGATGCCGCGCAGCGTGCCCCCCTTGATGTACTCAGTGATGAAGTTGAGCCGCTTGTCCTTGTAGAGCACGCCGATGAACCTGAGCACGTTGGGGTGCTCCAGGCACCGCATGACCTTCACCTGCCGGGCACAGACGGCTAGGCCTGCGTCCCTCCCTTCCTCCATCCCAGAGGCCATGGGCCCGGCCCCTCTGGCCTGGCCGGCTGCTCCCACCCCCAGCGGTACCCATCCAGGAGGATCCTGTCTTCTCTCCCCACATGGCCTGGGAGTCATATCCGCCCAGAGCCCCTGGACACCCTCTCTGCACAGGGAAGGGCTGGGGACCCAAGGGATGCCAGCGCCCCCAGAGACCTCCTTGAGGAATGTCCTCTGCGTCTCCTCGTCAAACCGGATCAGCTCCTTCATCACCATCACCTCGCCCGTCTCCCGGTGTGTCACCTGCGTGGGGGACACCGAGGCACGGGGACTCAGGACACAGGCCCGGCCATCAGCTGCTCCGGGGCTGCCAGAGAGACAGCACTGGCTTTGGGCTCTGCGGACAGTGCAGGCGTCGCTGATGCGAACGTGGGCTCTGAGGTTTCCTAGCAGGACTGAGGGCAGCCAACTGACGGGGCGGGGGCAGATCTGCGCTTGCTGAACTGTCACCTGGGCACTCAATGCTGGATCACTCGGAACTCCTCGCCGGGCGAGGAGCCACATTCCCTGAGCAGAGGCCGAGTGCGGTGGGGATGACCCCAGGCCAGCATGGGGCCCCAGGGAAGGGGTTTTAGGGGTGGTCTGGGCTCCTGTCCTCCACGCCCGCACGATGGGCCTTGCTGTGCATCAAGTTCTGCATCTGTGGCCAGGTCCCTTCCGTGTCTCCAGCTCCAGGAGGGTGGGGAGCCTGGAGGCCAGAGAACCTCCCGTGGCGGGCTTAGCGCTGCCCCACCCCTTCCCCGTACCTTGATGGCCTGGCCGAAGCAGCCCTTGCCCAGCACCTCCCCGTGGATGAGGTCCGACGGCCTGAAGATGCGGTGCGGCCGGCAGACGACGCGCAGGGACTCGGAGCGGCCCAGGTCTGTGCGCAGGGAGGCGGGAGAGGCCAGAGAACCGGCCCCCGGGGACGTGTCGATGCTGCAGCTCCTCCTGGGGAGGGACACGGTGCCCAGTGCCGCAGGGGAGGTGGGACCCGGCCAGAGCCCTGCGGCCACCCCAGCCGGCCTGCTGTGCCCCCTCCGGACCAGCCCCGGAGCAGCCCTGGAGTGGTGGCACAGGGCCCCCACCTCCTGTCTGAGGCCCACGGCTGTGCGGGTACCCTGGGTGGGGATGTCTGCCCTTGGCCTCCTCTGTCTGGTGGCCACTGTCACCCAGGCTCTGGGGGGTGGAGGACACCGCACGGGGAACTGCCGACCATTAGCAGAGGTGGCCTCACGGGCGACCAGAGCTCCACGTGATTGCAGGTTGAGGGGAAGCATGTGCCTTCGACCATGCAATCTCAGAGCACCACGGTCACCCCAGGTGACCCCACGGAGTCCTGCGCAGGGATGACAGGTGAGGACCGGGCTCCCTCTGGGCTTCCTCCTCCCACGTCTGAGGACAGGCCACCTACGGCACCTGCCGCCTGGACCGCCGCCATAGCCGAGTGGCTGTCTCTGGTCTTCAGCATCCCCACCCCAAGTCCCTGCTGCACCACGGGCAGGTGTGGCCTTTATGAAGCCGTCCCTGTGCTGCCCCGGGCAAGGCGGAGTCCAAAGACCCCTGCCACACCCCATACCTGCTGTCTCTGCCCACAGCCCCGCTCCCACCGCAGCCGACAGCCTCGTCATCCTGAGCTTATTTCAGCTGGCTGCCCCTGAAGCCTAGATCCTGGCGCACTCTGGTGGAGCCCGCCAATGTCTTCCTCCTCCTTGTCCTCCCCTTTCCGAGTCCCCGTCCGCACACCCAATGCCCTGGAGCCGCAGAGCCAGTAGAGGATGGGGACCTGGGGCAGGGCCCACCTGCCCGGGAGGGGACTCACAAGACAGGCTTCTGCCGAGCACTGCCCGCCTCTCCGCTGGGGGTGCACACGGGGGAGCCCAGGGGGCTGTGTGTGGGCAGCGGCCCCTGGCCCAGCGAGTCATGGGGGTCGTGCTCGATTGTCAGCTGCAGCAGGCGGCTGGTCTCCTGGATCAGAAGGTCGATCTGGGACACAGGTGCACAGGTGAGGTGGCTGTGGCGGCGTGGAAGGGGCCTCAGGGTGAAGGCACCTCCTCCGCCCACAGCCGGTCCCTGGAGCCGCCCTACCTCGTCCAGCGGCACGTTCCGGATGGGGGTGCCGTTGATTTCCAGGATCCGATCTCCCACATGGATGGAATTCTTCACGTCTGGGCTCATGCAGCCCGGGTCCACTCTGGGGATGGAGCACTAGTCAGACTCGGTCCCACCCGGCCCCCAACAGGTGGATCACTCGGAACCAAAGCACTAGATCTGGGGTGGGGGTGGGATGACTCCATCCTGTGCAATTGGAAGGTGCAAATTCTGTAACTGACCACTGATGCCTGCCGCAGGTATGGCTGTGGAGGCCGGGTCACCCGCAGGTATCTGCCGCCCCACACAGAGGCTCGGTCCCACTGCAAAGTCCTCCTGCACCATGGGGGACAGAAGTGTCCTCCAACTGCCTGGGATGCTTGGGCAGACAAATGTCCTAACAGGGCCTGCAGGGTCCAGATCTACCGGCCTATGCCGAGCTCCAGGAAGCTCTTGCTCCTCCAGGGGTGGCCATCGGAGCTGGCTGTGTCCGGGGCACAGGAGCGGGGAAAAGTAGGATGACGACTGCACTTCACCATCCATGACCTCACTCGTGGACTGGCCGAGCTGCCCAATCTCTTTGTGGCTTTTTATTCTTTGATGTGAGTTACTCTATTTCCTGCTTTCACTTTATTTCATAAAAGCTATTTAAGGGCTGGGGATTTAGCTCAGTGGCACAGCGCCTGCCTGGCAAGTGCGAGCTTGTGAGTTCAATTCCTGGTACTGGGGAAATAAATAAATAAACAACTACAAGCTACTTAAGAATGTGCTGTCTCTGTCTTAGCTCCTTGGGCTGGGGAAGGGGTAGGAATAAAGCAGAGAAGAGAGCTTTAAGAAAAAGTAACAGCTTTAAGAAAAGAGATCTGAGCTGGGCATGGTGGTGCACACCTATACTCTCAGCACTCAGGAGGCTGAGATAGGAGGATCACCATAAGTTGAAGGCCAGCCTGGGCTACATAGTGAGACTTGTGTCAAGAAAACAAAGGGGAAAAAAAAAAAAGGAAAAGAGATTTGCAAGTGGGGCATGGCGGCACAGGCCTGCAATTCCAGCATGTGGGAGGCTGAGACAGGTGGATTGCTGGGAGTCTGAGGCCAACCTAGACAATTTAGCAAAACCTTGTCTCCAAGTTTACAATTTGAGGGTATATAGCTTAGTGCTCTGTGGGTTCAATTTCTAGTACCACTACAAAAAAACAAAAAACAAAGATATAGCATCTTCTCACAGGGGGAAGAAGCCCTTCTGTACAGCAGAGAGCACACAAATAAATGCGGAAGACCACGGCTAGAAAATCCTCCCTTTGCAGGGGACGCAGTGAGCACTGGCACAGGGCAGACTCAGGAACAGACGCTGAATCTGCAGCGTGAGAGGGTGGGGACCGAGACACTCACAGACTCGAACCTCACAAACGGCTTACTGACTGCACAGGGGGAAAACGAGCCGAGAGTACAGAAAACGAGCCAACAGTCACAGTGAACACCCTCCACAAAGGGCGCCGTGACACCGCGAGTCCGTGAGTCTAGAAGGACTGCATGGGGCAGGCAGGACCGGGGCGGAAATACGGACACTAAATCTAATGACTGGGGAACGCGGGTGGGCCCGAGCCGAGGGACACTCTACTTAAGGTCTGAGCCTCGAGTTTCAGAAAGCCAAGGTCTCGCTGGGCGCGCCGGTGCCCGTCTGTAATCCCAGCACTCTGGTAGGCTAAGGCAGGCTGAAGCAGGAGGACTGCAAATTTGTGCTCAGCCTGGGCAACTTAGTGTCTTAGTGAGACCCTGTCTCAAAATACAAAACAAAGAGGGCTGGGATGTAGCTCGGTGCGGAGGCCTGGGGTTCAATCTCCAGTACTGGAGAAAAAAAAACTTCTTTAGAAAAAAAAACTTCTTCTCCAGGTCCCCTCCCTCAGTCTTCTGCTATGATGATAGGAGTCTGGGGCTCAAACAAATAAAACTTGTCTTGAAGATGTGGCTAGCAACAGAAGAAAGCTACTGCACTATAATCAAGTCAGGCCAGTGGCCTCCTGGCCAGAGGGACAGTTTCTGAGAAGGGTGTGGCAGGGACAGCGCTCACCAGTAGGGCAGCCGGCAGGGGGCGGTGCTGACACTGACAACTCTCCATTTCTTTCCTTTTTCATTTGGACTCAGCACCTTCACCCTGAGCTACACCCACAGCCCCTTTTAAAATTTTTTTACTTGGTGGGGTGTGGTGGTGCATGCCTGTAGTCCCAGCACACATGAGGCTGAGGCAGGAGGATGGTTCCAAGTTCGAGACCAGTTACAAAGTGAGCTCAAAGCCAGCCCGAACTACATCAAGACCCTGTCTCAAAGAGACAAAAAAAACAAAAACAACTTAAATTTTTTTATTTGGAGAGAGAATTTTGCTAAGTCACTAAGTAGCCTGGGTTGGGCTCCAACTTGCAATTCTCCTGCCTCAGCCTCCCAGAGTATTAGGATTATAGGCCACTATGCCTGGAAACTCTTCATTTCTCTGGGACTTAGCTGGGACCTTGATGTGGGCCGGGGGGCGGGGTGGGTACTCCAGGAAGAGCACCAAACTGAGCCCGCCTTCTGCTCCATCCTTTCTAAAGCCAGTTGCCTGGCAGATGTCCAAGGCAAGGACAGAGATGCAGTCAATCTTCCCCAGCTCCACCTTCCCTTCTCCCGTTCCCCAGGTGTGGTGCCTGCGGCCAGGCAGGTGTGTGACACAATCAAATGGAAGCTGGCACCTGGCCCCTAGACCCAGTAGCAGGCACATTTCATCTTTTTTTTTTATTCCCAGTACTGGGAATCGAACTCACGACCTCATGCTTCCCAGGCAAGCACTGTGCCGCTGAGCTAAATCCCCAGCCCTGGCAGGCACATTTCAAACCACCTTTCCAGGTGCCAGTGAAGGCCCCACAGTGACCAACTCCCTCATTGTGTAGACGGACTGCTGTTTGGACTTTGCAGCCACGGGAACTGTGAGGTAAATAACCCCCTCTCTTAATAAAGTACTCTAGGACCGGAGATACACCTCAGTGGCACAAGTGCCTGCCTGGCAAGTACAAGGTCCAGAGTTTGATTCCCGGTACCAAAAAAACCCACAAATAAAAACAACAAAACTAACTAACTTGGGCCTGGGTATTTTGTTACAGTCAGAAAACAGACTAAGACAGACCCCCACAGTAGAAGTCACAGAGCGTGTTAGTATCTGGATCAGCTCTCTCCTTGATTTCTTTCTGCACCCCAGAGCTTTCCTCACTGTTTTCAGGGCCCACCTGCTTGGATCACATCCTTTTCCCCCCAGTACTGAGACTCGAACTCAGGATCTTGCACTCGCCAGATCGGCACCGTTCTGCTGACTATACCCCCGGGCCCTTGGATCATATCTTGCTGTGAGCCTTAACACTCTCTGGTTTGTGGGTGACGACTCCTCCTTCACTTGAGTTCAGATTGGACAGCTGATCTTGTGGCTCAGGAATGGGGGGATTTACGACAGATGGGATTTATTTTTCATTCACACCAAGAGCTCTTTGGGGGTCCCAGGCTTACAGGGAGGAGGAAGTCTCACATTAGAACAGCTTCTTTTTTTGTTTTTTTTCCTCATTTTTCTTCCGGGACCAGGAATTGAACTCACGACCTTGCGCTTGCCAGGCAGGTGCTTTGCCGCTGAGCTAAATCCCCAGCCCCTAGAACAGCTTCCTTGGGTACCACTGTGAATAGGGAAGCCTCAGTTTCCCCAGTCCAGCCCCGCTTCCAGGCAGCGCATTCCGTGGGCGGTCCTGGCTATGTCCTGCCGTTGTTCCTGACTGGGTCGTCTCTCCTTTTTGGTGGAACATGCACAGGCTACAGAATTTTCTATTCTATTGGGTGTGATAGTTAATCTTTTTCTTTTTCTTTTTTTGTCTTTTTGAGACAAGGTCTCACTATGCAATTCAGGCTGGACTTGAGCTCACTCTGTAGCCCAGGCTGGTCTCAAACTTGCAAGGATCTTCCTGCCTCAGCCTCCCGAGTGCTGAGATTACAGGCGTGCGCCACCATGCCCGGCATGACAGTTAATCTTGACTGCTAACTGAATGGGTGTGAGAGATGCCTCGGAGATTAGGAAAGCACATTCACGGGGCGTGACCTGGGGGCTGTTCCTGGTCCCTGCTGCTTCCTCTCTGACCACCATGAGGTGGCATCTTTCCTTTGACACTTCTGCCATGTATCTGCCTCAGAGGCAGCTGACCACGGACTGAAATCTTGAACCAAAACCCCTCTCCTCTGCTTTAGGTTGTGGGCGTCAGGTACTTTGTCCCAATACATCTGGTATCTGCAGTGCTTTCCCGAGTTACGACTACACAGACACCGGCTGCACCGGGTGGTGGAGCTGGGTCCCCGTGTGCCCGAACACGCTCCACATCCCTCGGTCCCTGGTGCGCACCTGCCACACCAGCGGCCGGTCACTCACCCCTGGACTCGGACGGTGTGCGAATGCTCCGTGCCGCAGCCCGGCAGGCCGTGCGGTGGGTCGATGGAGACAGACAGGCCACGTTTGCCATGAGTGGAGGCTGGGATGGACACCAGGGTGACCGTGTGGGGCAGGTGGGAGCCGGGGGAGTCAGGCAGGATCTGCTCGATGACGGGGGTCACCACGGTCTGGTAGTAGCAATGCCCACTGCGACACAGGGAAGAAGAGCTCCGGGTGTGTTGCTGGAAGTGCCACCCCCGCAGCCCCAGCCCCCCAGCTGACTGACAGCACCGCAGCAGGAACGAACACGCGGAGCGCCGGGTCCCTCCCAGGCGCAGACAGTCCGGGCTGTCCCCTGCCTGTGCTGTGTGGCAGGCCTGCCCGAGGCTGTGGATACATCCAGTTCAGGAGGAAGTCATTAAAAGCCCATTTGGGATCCAGTCGTGCTACCCTCTAATCCAGCTTTACTGCCATTGTATAAGGAAGATTTTTATCTGCTCTTTGTCTGCAGTTCCTGGGAGAGACTCTGAGTCCTTGGAACAGGAACATCTGGGTTATTTATGAGCCCTTCAGCCTGCGCCAGAGTCCTGCTAATGGGATGACTCAGGGGCACCCGTCACCACGAAGACCAGCGGTGATCAAAGGCTGGGGCTCCAGCCGGCCTGGCTTCCGAGGAGGGGGCTGGAGACGGAGCTGCATCCTGTGGCTGCGAGCCCATCTATCAGGACTGCACAGTGAAAGGCTAAAGGGGCCCTGGACGCACACCGGGCTGAGGGAGGCGCCCCGGCTGGTGACGCAGCAAGGCGCGGGGGCAAGGGAGTCTCCATCGGGCAGTCCTGAGCGGTGCCCTTTATAATAAAACTGTGCTCCTGGGTGTGAGGCTTCCCAGAGTTCTGCGAGTCATGTAGCCAGTGATCAGACTTGACATGCTCACACGCTCATTCGCACACACGCCCGCACACACACACCCACACACACAGCCAGGGATCCCAGCTGGTCAGGCATGCGGGTGGCCTGGGACAGGACAGTGCAGCTGGCGTCTGAGCCAAGGGCAGCCTCGCGGGGAACCACGTCCTTAGCCTGTGGGCTCTGTGCCAGCTCCAGGGCTGGTGCCAGGGCTGCACTGCAGCAGCGCAAGAGGGAGGGAGCTGGGTGCTGTCTGTCCCACGCCTGGGGCTTGTGACACCACGGAAGGAAGGAGTAGAGGGTGGTGGCATCTGTCTGGTCCTCTGACTGCATCCAGGAAATCAGGGCCTGGGCACCCTGGGCTTGGCGAGGGGCCCTGGCACTCACCAGTATAGCTTGGAATGCTCCACCAGGGTGTAGGTGTCCCCATCTCCGATGAAGGTCCCACACGTGAGGCAGATGAAGCACTCGGGGTGATACTTCAGCTCCCCGGCCACCTGGCGGGAAAGGTTGGGCACGAGATGGCTCAAAGCCAGCTGCAGCGCTGCTGGTCACAGCGGGCTGCACAGACAGGGGTTGCAGGGACTGTGCGGTCCAGGAGCACGGGAAAGGGAGCGTGTGCACGCTCACACACAGCCAGGTGCCACGCGCAAGGTGGGTGCTCACCATGACCAACCCCTTGGTGATGTGCTCCGAGCAGCCATGGCACGACTCGCCGTAGCGGGCCCAGTAGTCCTTCTTGCAGAAGAGCTGCCCATCCTTCTCGTAGTACTGGTGTGACAGGGAGGCACCGCATTCACAGCACCTGCAGGAGAGAGCCCGAGAGGGGGGCTGAGGACGCACCCCATGCTCCCCTGGCCTGCCTTCCCAAGCACCCTCATTAGAATTCTGGTCAGCGGGCAGAAGCAGGCTGTGCTGGCACACAGGGCCGGGCGAGCCGGGACTGGGGTGGATTCAGTCCCACTTTGATGCCCCAATCGAACGCCTTGTGCAGTACACAGCCCACACACACAACCTCTCACAGCTACTGTGCATATGGAGGGCTTGGCCTGAGGGGTGAAGGGCGCTTCTCGTCAGGGCCGTTGCTTGTTGTGCCAGGAAGATAGTCTGGAAAGCGGGTGACTTGCTCTTTTTGAGGAATGGAACCCGGGAGGGCCCACTCCAAGGGGCAGTGGGTGTCCTTCAGCTCCCCTGCCCCACCGACTGGTGGCTGTGTGAGATACTGGCGCTGGAGGCCTAACTTGCTTAGCTCGTGGGCACCAGATGTGATGCCGTTTCACAGGACACAGGCGGGGGCTGCTCAGCACAGCCAGGTGGACCTAGAGGCAGGATCAGCCAGGGCTACAGGCTCTCCTGGGCCCTTGGAGCTCTGCAGGTGAAGAGGCTCACAAGAGGGGTGCTCAGGGGACAGGCCAGCACGCCCCAAGTCTCCCTGGCTTGCCTAGAAAAGCAGCCTCATCATGAGCAGGCCCAGGGCAGCTGGGCGGGCAGCGGGTACTGAAGGGCAGGTGGGAGAAGCCAGGAGCCAGACCCACCTGCCTGGCCTCCCCCCCACAGCCTCGGTGGGGTGGGGACCCCGGCTCTGCTCACCAGGAGCAGTTTGCTGTCTCCAGGGATGGGGTAGGGTGTGGACCAGGGCCCCATCAGCTCTGCTGAGGTCACACAGGGTCCGGGAGACAGAGGAGGCAGCACAGCACTGCCCTCTCCCAGGCGGCCCGTGTGCCAACGTACTGGCCCTGGTGGGGGTGGGGAGCAGCCAGTCAGTTGGGGGCATCTGCCCCTTTAAGAGGATCCCGCTGGTTCCCCTTTGTCTGGGAGCCTGCGGGGAGGGGCAGGGACTGGGGAAGCACAAAATGTCAGGGCTCAGAAGCTCGTGGGCGGGGGTGTGCCCAGGAAGGGGGCCCACAGCGCATCCTAGGGGACTCAGGGTTAGGAGGAGTGGGGGGGTGGCTGCGGAAAGACCATGACGTCATGACCACTGCCCCACAATCCCGGGAAAAGCTCGGGGGCAGGCGCCACCCCTGCCGCCTGGGGCGGTGGGAGGGGCCCTCTGTGAGGAGGACCCCGTGTGCCTCCCTGGGGTTCTGTAACCTCCTCCACAGACAGTCTCGCACCCCACCCCGCCCCGTGGTCCTCAGTGACCCATCTGACCTTTCACTGACCACACATGACTTCTTCATGGGCCATAGGAGCGTCCTGTCCTGAGCCTCCCTGACACTCCCTGCCAGGCTGCAAGATGTGTCTGCCTATCTCTCCCCTCCCCAGGGGCTGGTGGGGCTCAGCAGGGCGGAGCTCGAGGCAGCTGTGGCCCCCAAATCCCCCGGGGGCAGAGAAAGCTCCCTGCTCCTCCCTTGTGCCTAGAGCCGCCCTCTCCCCTCATCATGAAGTCACCACGCTGCTGCCAGCTCCCAGTGGCAGCCTCAGGGGCCCGGTGCCTCCAGCTCCCCTGTCCAGGCACCACTTCCTTGAAGCCCCTGGGGCCCCAGCACATGGGCACCATGGCCTTTGTCTGCTCCCCAGCCCCCACTGTGCACCTGCGGGATCCCTGGGGTTCTGGCTGGCAGGGCAGCCGCCCAGCCGGCAGGGCGAGCACCAGCTGTCTGGTCCCGCCCATGCCCGGAACTGCCCCGGGCACCCTTCTCTGCCTCCGACTGCTCCCAGAGTGGCCTGGTGGCTGGCACTGAGGGCACAGCACCCCTTGACAGGTAAAAGATACACAGAGCCTAGCCTGTCCTGACCCCTCCTGTGCAGCCAGAAGCGGGGGACCAGGCCTGGCTCAGGGGGTGCCCCACACAGGCCAATGGCCCCCACAAATGGTGTGAGAGGAGCGGAGCTGGCTTGGAGCCCGCTGAAACGGAACTGCAGTGGACACTCCTGCCCTGGCCTGCTTCAGGGAACCCTCCGGACAGCGGGGAGGACAGAGCTGGCTGGGGCAGGCGGGGGCGCTCTGCAGCAGAGGAGGTGACAGGTGTGAGGTCCGTCCCTCCCATGGTGCCCCTTCTCAGAGAAGAGAAAGCAGCTGGATGCCCCAGAGAAGCTCGGAGCTGTGCCGAGGCCTGCACCCCCACAGCCAGCGGCCTGCACCCCCACAGCCAGCCGACAGGGTCCTGCAAGTTTCAGTTCTGCCCCAGGTGGGTCCCAGCACTGCCTCCAGCCCCAGCGTTCCCACCAGCTGTGGCCAGGCAGGGAGGGGGCTCTGCACTTACTTAGCCCCTCTGCGGAAGCGGTTTCTTCTCAGGGGTGCGGCCAGCAGCATCCTTTGCAGCAATGGCAAGAGGTATTTGGAGGCTGCAGAAGCACAGGGGTGGCCTGACCAGAGCTTCCTCATCCCACCAGGAGGCTCAGGATTGGAGGGTACAGGAGGTGGGGCCAGTGAGACCACACAGGGAAGGGTGCAGCAGTGTGGGTGCGGAGGGCCCTGGGCTCAGCCGGCAACAGGAAGGAACAAGCGCCTTCTGCCTGGGTTTTTATGTAGGTGAACAGGGAAGGATGCTGGCTCTGGCCCCAGGCGGGGAGGTGGAGGAGGAGGAAGAGGGATCCGGGCTCGGACCCCGGGGCGGGAGGTGGAGGTGGAGGGAGGCAACGTCTGACTCCAGGCAAGGGGAGGGTATCTAGGCTTTGACACTCCTCAGGCAGGTAGGAAAGGGAGGATCTAGGCTCGGACTCCACCACTCGACCCTCAGTTTTGCTCATCAGGAGAAAGGTGCTCTTTGTGCTCCTCAGCCTCTGCCTGGGCCTCTCTGTGGACAGAGACAAATTCAACGCAGCTGTCTCTTCTGGGGCTGGTCCCAAGGGAGCAGAGGTCGGCTTCCCATGGACAGTCGGTCCTCTTCCCATGAAAGGTCCCCTGAAGTGGGGAGGCTGTACCCAGCCTGGGCTTGACGGCCAGCCAGCTGCGCCCTTCTGCCTGGCAGGCCTCTGGGGAGATTCCTGGGAGGGGCTTCACACGCAGAGGCAGCAGCTGGGCCAGGGGAAGCCAGGACCACCATGACCACCACCAGCCTGGCCGTCATCTGTGGGAGGCGGGGCCCTAGGACAATAGGGCGGGTCTGGGGGTGACAACTGAACCTCAGTGCCAATGCCAGAGGCACTGGAGGGCCCACAGCAACCCTCCCACAGTCCACAGAGGGGTGCAGTGCTGTTCTCCAGACATCCCCTGCCTCCGACAGTCCCTGGGCCCTGAAGACAGCCTGGGACGCCCTCAAGGGCAGGGGCTAGGGATCGCAGCGGTACTCTGCCAAGGGTTCCCGCCACAGACTCAAAGAAGTCGCACAGCCATGGGCTCCTTCCTCGGCTTCCCCCAGCAAACATCCCACGGGCCGGTTGAGTCCCTGCAGCCCTCTGGCGGCTTTTCAGATTCCAGATGGGCCACCGTGGGGCCTCCCTTGCACCCTGACTCCGAACTAAACCTCCTCAGAGCGCTGACTCTGCAGCGCCTGGTGCATCTGTCTGCCTGGCTAGCTTACTAGAAGGTAGGGACCCTGGATCTTGATAGTGACAGGACAGAGCCATGGACTTTGCGGCCAGGCTCACAGGGACACTGGGCAGATGGTGACAGCTCACCTCGGCATCTGCTTCCGCACCTGTCTTGGGGGTTCAAGAAATAGCACCCACTCCACAGCTTGTCCTAGGGAGCTCCCTAATTACCTGTATGTGACTCAGGGACCAGGGGAAGGGCCAGCAATCACAGGGCCACCTCCCCTCCCTAGGGACAGAGGAGCCGGCTGCAGGCCGCAGGCCCTCAAAGCTCATCACATCCCTCCTGCCAGAGCAGCTTCAAGAGGATCAGGGACAAAGGGAACAAAGGTCTCAATGTCATCAGCAGAATCATGGCTCGGAGATGTGCCCAGAGGGGAACCAAGCAGGATCCAGAGCCTCAGGTGTCCTGCGGAGAGCCAGTCTGGCTGCCTGTCAGCCATGTGTCCCTGGCAAGCAGTGACCCGCCTCTGAGCCGCTTTCCTGAATGTCACAGGGTAAAGACACTGCTAAGTCACGCAGCTTTGGGGGTTGTTGGGAGCGCCATGTACCACTGGGCCAGGAGCCTGTGTGGAAGCCACCAGGTGGAAGCTGTCACTGCCTGTGAGCACTGTCTCACTGTGGACCCGAGTCCCTCCTCAGAGGGGACAGTCTGAACCTGCCCTCCCGATGGCGCTGGCTGGGCCCCCTCCTCCCCTGGGGACGCAGTGCAGGATACGCTCCAAAGCCAGCCAGGTGCCCTGCAATCTCTGCTTCCCTCCTGCAGCTTCGGGCCGGCAAGTAAGACTCCACCTTTCCTCCCCAGCCCAGGCTCAGGGGCCTGCGAACTTCTCCCCTTGGTTCCTCTTAGCCCCATGGCAACTCCCTCAGTGTCATTCAGTTGGGAAGGAACCCTTTTTCCCAACCCTACTTCCACCTGGACTCAGACCTGTGCAGTCACGGCCGGGCAGGGCACCTCCCAACACAGGCACAACACAGCGGCCCGACTCCCTCAGGAGCAGCAGACCATCCCCTCCTCAGGGCAGGGGTGAGAAAGCCAGACCTGCGCTCCTCAGGCCCCACTCCCGAAACAAAGCCTCTCCTGCCTCAGCCTTGCAGTGATGAGCGTGAGCAGGACCCAGCTCTGCCCCTGTGCAACCTGCATCCAGGTACGCGCCTTTGCAAAGCCCTCAGCTATCATCTGAAAACTGGGCAAACATGGAACCTCCCATGGGTACAGCGGAGGCTGAACAAGCTAACTTTAAAGGAGAGCGGATGCTGGTGGCAAAGATGCCAAACGCAGGTTGAGCATCCCTGATCCGACATGCTTGGGGCCAGAGATGTGTCCCAACTTGTCCAACAGCAGAATATTTGCATAGATGGAACGAGAGCTCTTTGGGAGGGGCCCCAAGCCTGAATAGGAAAGTGACTTAGGTTTTTGTACGCGGCTCACAGAGCGCCAAAGGTGATTACATGCAGCATTTTTCATGTGCCTAGGTCTGACTGTGACTGGTCACACGAGGCCAGGTGTGAACTTTCTCTTTTTTTTTTTTGTCTTTTTGAGACAGGGTCTCCCTATGCAGTTCAGGCTGGCCTTGAGCTCACTTTGTAGCCCAGGCTGGTCTCGAACTAGCAATGATCCTCCTGCCTTAGCCTCTCGAATGCTGGGATTACAGGCGTGCACCACCACGCCGGGTGAACTTTTCATTCAGGTTCGGATTTCGGAGCATTCTGGATGAGGGCTGCTCCAGCTGCACTCGCCAAACATCGTCCCCTCCCCATCTGATGTCATCTGCACTCTCAGTCCCTCTGCAAGGTCAGACTCCTGCACTATGGTGACAGGCCCTTGCCTGCCAAGGGGCCACCATCTGCCTGCTGGGACAACAACCTTCACCAGCTCGTCCACCCGCGGCCCAACCCAGCTGTCTGCTGACTCCTGAAGGCCGGGAGAAGGTCCTTGCCTTGCCATTCTGTGCCCTTCCCAGGCTGTCCTGACTCTGGTGCCTCACTGCACCCCTCGACTCCCGCTATTCCTGCCAAATGCGCTGTTCTTGTGCTCTCAACAGCCTGCCTGGCCTGGGATCCTCCTTCTGCGTCACTGATCCGGCGTCCCAGGGCATGTCGCCTGCCCTGCTTCTGGCCACCAGCCTGAGTGGGCCCTATGTCCACTGAACTCACTGGCTGTGTGATTTCAGGCGAGAGAAGTGGCCTCTCTGTGCCTCAACTTCCCTCTGGCAGGATGGAAGCAACACAGTATCTACCTGTGCAAAATAGTAAGGGCAGAGTTGGCCTCTGCTCAATGCTGGAAGGTGTTAGACTGATTCATTTGTGTATGTGTGTGTTGCTGAGGATAGAACTTAGGACCTCATATATGTTAGGCCTAAGTGCTCTACTATTGAGCTCCAGCTCCAGCCCAACTTCTTCTGTTTTGTTTTGTTTGAGGCAGGGTCTTGCTATGTAGCCCAGATTGGCCTTCAACTAACTAGCGATGAGTGTGTGGCACCACACGCCACCTGATTTATTCTTTTTTTTTTTTTTTTTTTTGGTTTTTCTCCGGTACTGGGAACCGAACTCATGACCTTGCGCTTGCCAGGCAGGCGCTTTTGCCGCTGAGCTAAATCCCCAGCCCCTGCAACCTGATTTATTCTTAAAATACAAAACAACAAGCCAGGGATGGTGGCAAATGCCTGTAATCCCAGCACTGAGGCAGGCTGAGGCAGGCTGAAGCAGGCTGAGGCAGGAGGATTGCTACGAGTTTGAGACCAGCCTGGGCTACACAATGAGTTCAAGGCCAGCCTGAATTACACAGTGAGAGACGGTATCAAAAAACAAGACAAAACAAGAAGCTCCAAAACAACACAAATCAAAGCTCTACCACCGGCAAAATAAACTCCTGATGGGGATGCCAGGCTTTGCAGGGCCCCTCAGCTTTCCCAAACTCTGAATTCACTGGAATTGTGCCTGGAATTACCTTTTCACCACAGCTCTCCATCCAGGAATCACAGCTTTCCACACCCTGTCCTGGCCTCACGGCTGTGCCGTCAGTGGTCTCCTGCACCGGGCTTCTCAGGATAGTCCTCCTGGGTCACCTGAGTCACTGTGTGCTCTACTTTGTCCTTGGCCACATCGCTTCTCGGCCTTTTGGCTAAGATCAAGTGTCCCTGGCCACAGCCCTGCCCCCCAACTCCCCTCTCTGTCTGGAGGCCAGTCCTGGACTCACTCGCTGGACCCTGGGGCAGGGGCTCAGCTTCCCTCAAAGCCCCGTTTGTCTTCCCATCCCTAGGGCAGAGCACCTGGGGCAGGGTATGGTGCCCTCTACTTCCGCCCTGCCCAGCTGCCAACAGGCCTTGGCAATACAGTCAGCCCCCATGCCCCTGAGGTCCACACTCACAGATTCAATCAGGGTCAGATCAAAAAATTCAGGAAGAAAAACTGCCTTTGCACTGACGAGGCACAGATTTCTTCTTGTCCTTATTCCCTAAATAATTCAATACAACTACATACAAAGCGTTTACACTGTAACAGATACTGTATGTAACCTGCAGTCCCAGCTACAAAGGAAGCTGAGGCAAGAGGACTGCTTGAGCCCCAGGAGTAGAACGCTAGCCTACTCCTGGGGCTCAAGACCCGATCTCAAAACACTGGATATATATTACTGAGGATGCAGAGGTTCTATGAAAGGACTGTGCCGTTTCATTTTATAAAGGACTTGTATCTATGGAGTCCTGCAGCCAATGCCCTGTGGCTGGCAGGGGACAACCACAAGGCTGGAATGCAGGTTTCTCCCTCACAGGGCTGGAGGATGAAACAGGAAGGCCCCCAGGCATCTCATAGTCAGAATGCCTCATTTTACAGGAGGGAAACTGAGGCCAAAGACTCACTGGAGGTCACAAAGAAGGACAGCACCAGGAGGGACAGCAGGCCTCTGGCAGCCCCAGCCGGCCCTACCTGAAGCAGTCTGCGTGCCAATCAGCGTTCAGGGCCTGGAGGTACTGGCCGTCATAGATCCTCTGGCCGCAGCGTGCACACACGGGCAATTCACTTCCTGCAGGGGTGGAAGGGAGTCAGGAGCATTCTTAGGAGGTGCAGTGCAGTGCAGGCTCAGCCTGCCCTGCCCACTCCACATGGACCAAGTGCCCACATGCCCGGCATCCCGGCTGAGCGGTCACTGTGCCCAGAAAAGCCCTTGGTGTGGGTCCTACTGAGATGCTGGCTAAATTATCCAGCCTGTCTGGGCCTCAGTATCCCTAGCTGCAAGCTGAGGAGGAGGATCAGATGTCCATCTATCCTCCAGCAATAGCATTCAACTCTGGGTCTGGAAAAGTGAACCGGGGGAAAGAAAGCAGGGGATTTAGAAATCAAGCGGCAGCAGACCCTCCTGTCACAGCTCCCTTCACTCCCAGGAAAGGGGAGTTCAAAGCCCAGGACTGGCCAGGGCTGGGCTGGTACATCCTGGGCTGGGGGATGGGGGTGGTATTTCCCCTACCTGAGTACATCCTAGCCTGACAGGCTGTTTTGTAGAGCCAGGCACCCCATACCTCCCGGAGTTGGCCACTGCTAGGCATGCTTAGTCATCCCTGGGGCCTGGCACCCTTGGGGTTGGTGGGCCCTGACAGATGCCCCAGGCCTGCCCCTCCCCACCGCACAGACGGGGAGACTGAGCCCCAGAGTGGGCAAGGCTTGCCCTGTCACACAGCCAGGACCAAAGCCACAACCTGCCCCTCTCTGAGCACCCAGGGACCTAAAGTTAGGGCAACAGTGAGGCAGGCCAGTGCCCCAGAGAGTCCTACGGGGCTGGGAGAGGGCTGTGGGCAGCCGCAGGGGCGCAGGTGGGCTGTGAGGACCAGGTGGGCCTAAGTGAAGACCCTGGAAGTGAAGCTGGGGAAGGAGACCCCCAGGCCGTGTTCTGGGTTAGGGGGATCTTTGCGCGTCTCTGAACTCTTCAATTGGGCCCAGTGCAGAAGCAGCAGCTAAAGAGAAGCCAGGACCAGTCACGCTCCCAGCCATGATTGATGGCAGGTGCTGGCTTTGGTGCAGGGAGAGGGGGAGGGGATGGGGTCCCGCAGTGCACCGCCACCGTACTCCTCTCCGCCCGTCCAGCCTCTAGCGCCTGGGGGCCCACTACCCGGTCCTCAACTGTACAGACGGGGAAACTGAGGCCCGGGGTGTGAGCGCTTGGCTCAAGGTCACAGAGCCGGGCAGGCGCGGGGCGAGGCGACTCGGACCCGGGGCTGCGGCTTCCCCAGCTACTCTGTGCTGCCCAGGCCACGTTACACACGGGATGCGGACGGTCCCAGGGCGAGGCCGGGGTGGACGCGCGCGCGGAGGGGGCAGGGCCGGGGACTCCCTGGGAGGACTGGGGACAGCGGGGATGAAAGGGAGGAGG